CAGGAGCAAAGAAACGGTGAGAAGCTGCTGCTCGGAGATCAGAAGGTCTGAGTCGAGAAATCCTCACGACCACAAAACAGACGGTTCAGGTGTTTAAAGCTTTGACTTTGCAGCAGATCAGAGCGTCTGGTGTCTGATTCTGTCGTTCTCGTGTCTCAGAAACGTCTCAATCTGCATTTCAGACGCTCACGTGTTTGTTTCCAGATGTGCGCCGTCACAGTGAAGTGTGAAGCACTCAGGCCGAGCAGCTGCCGGCGCCTCTTCCCATCACTGCCATGTGAATCTGTGCTAATGTGCAGCTCGGTCGGCGGCGTTTCCATTTCATTTCTCTGCGGCAAACAAACCGGCACACGCAGCTTCTGTCGGCCCGAATCTGTGGCGCCGCCGACGACTAATGAAGGGATGTTTGACGAAGCGGCGTCCAAATGAAGACGACTCTGTTCCAGCGTCGGGAGGCTGCGAGCAGACGAGCCGAGTTTATCGCAGCGCCGCCGCCACCTGCTGCTGATTGATCACCAGCTGATAGAGATTATACATCAAACCTGCAGTTTAGCGGGTGGCAGCAGCAACTGTAGCAGCAGCTAAGAGCACGCTTTTAATTACACCTCCGACCAGTCGGCAGCCCGCTCGCTGGAAAACGTTTGGATCCAGCCAGGAGGGTTGTTTCATTCTGGATCCGGCCATGTTTCACTGAATTTAAATCGGTTTCTGTTTCTCTGTTTGACAAACGTGATGATTGCTGACGGATTCCTGGAACGTCTGACCGTCCAGCACCAACGTGAACCAGATTCCTGTGATGTGGGTTCCTCATAAAAACAACATGCGAGCTTCATTTTATAGTAACTGAATTAAAACATGGGTCTTGTTTGTTTTTGCAGCTTTTCTTTAAAGGACCCCTAAAGAACCATCAAAATGGCTCCTCAAGGCCGTACATGGTGCAAAAACAAGGTTCTTTAGGGAACCATTTTCTAGATAGTTCTTTGTGGACCGACCTGGTTCGATGTTCTTTTAATGGCAGGACTTCATTTAAGTCTTTCATCAAATGTAAGAACAGCAGATTGGTTCCTTCAGGCACCATGAACGATATATATATCTTATATCTATAAGGAACCGTCTCTTCAAATGACTATTTGGATGATTGGAATTGGTTTATATCCCAGAAATGGCGCTCTAAAGAACTTTACCAAAAAGAAATGAAATTCTAAGAACCAAGAAGGAAAACTGGTTCTTTTTGAACACGCCTGGTTCTGTTCTGATGATAGGACTTGGGGGGAAAAAACAACGAAAGTAAGAAATTGCAGCATTTTTGGGCCAATTCCTTTAGAACAAATCTAATATTTTGGGTTCTGGACTGTTGCTCAGAAGGAACAACTGTGTCGAACATTTCTCGATGTTTATGGACGTTTTATAGAACAAATGATTGATCAATAATAAATAGAATCAATAGTTGCAGCTCTAATTTGATGCTGTTACCAGCCACCCAACCAAAGAACCCAAATATGCTCAAAGAACCTTCAGCTCTTTGGGAAAAAAACGGGTAAAGTACTTGAAGAACCTTTTAAGAGGAACCATTATTCTTGAAAGGGTTGCAGGAAAGTAGGTATAGATGGACCTCGTGGAATCTACAAGAATCTACAAGCAACGTTCTTCTAAAAAAAACTGGATTCTGTGTTGTGGTTTTGCAGGTTCGGGTTCTCCTACCTGGTGGCAGATCTCGTGGACGACCACCATGGTGAGCTCCATCTGGTAGGACGACGACGACACCTCGGCGTCCAGCAGGATCTTCTGCTCCACGAAGACGCTGAGGCCCCAGTTCTCCATGGCGGCGTACGGATGTTTGGGAACCGCCAGCAGATCTGGAAACACAACAACAACAGCAACAGCAACACATTAGGGCTCGTTCCTCCATTAATAAAGCCGGTTTCATCCGGCGAGACTTAAATAAAAGGAGGCGGTCGCTGTGACAGAATGACTGCTGGCAGCTGAGCAGATCCCATTTTGGGTTAAAATTAAACTCATGAGTCATTTTAACAACCTGCCAAAGAATCCTTTTATCCCCACAACAGTTCCTCACATATAACTCTGCATATATCTGAACGAGCGGGAGGAAATGTGGAGAACAAAGGAGGACGGAATAAAAAATGGGAGCGACGTGAGGGTTCCTTTGGGTGGAGAAACTTGAAATAAGAGATACGGGAGGTGAGAGAGGGGCTTAGCGTCGGCCGGCGGGGAAGATTTATGAGAGTCGGAGGGCAGAAAAAATGTCACCTTGCTGGACGATGAGTCAAAGAAAGTGTTGCTTCTGGTGCTAGTCGGGTGTTAAAGGCGGAAGATGAGGGAAACGAAGGTGAATTTAAAGAAAAGTACAATAAAAAAAGTGGATTTAAGGAGCAGAACATCTTTCCATCTCCGTGGTTTCCATGAATGAGTTTGATGAGTGTAGCTACAGGACCGTTGTGTCGTTGGGTTTTGGTTCCACACGAGTACGTTGGCGTCTAAACACTACAGTAGACTAAAAAACAAACCACCACCTGGATGGAACCGCCAAATAAACGTGGTCCGGCTTTGTTCTATGAATCCGGCCGTCTCGCCCGTCGACCCACATTCAGCAGGTTTGTTTCTTTTTCTCACAATGAAATTTGAGGCCGTTTGAACGACAACATCTGAGGAACCTTTAAAGATTAAAACCTGAAATTTAAACTCTTATTTCTCATCGTGTTGTCGATTCAGAATCTGTAATATCAGACAAGTGGATCAAAAAACCTCCGATTGTGGTTCAGCTGAAATATGGTTTTAAAAAAAAGGAATTTAACACAAAAGGTTCCATCTTTGAGCTCAAATTCACAAAAACACTGATAAAGCAGAAATGAACTGGTGATGTTTTCTGATCCACATGTAGCTGCATGTCCGACTAATACGAAGCTAAACATACAGATGATGTCTGAAAACCATTTTTTTGGGTCAGGCGATATTTTTGTTTTCGTGGTGAAACTCGTCACATCTGCTCGATGAAACCCGAATTTTTTGTTTTTCATTTTTGTGAGCACAAACAGGTCACTTCTGGTTCTGTTCCTACACAAAGAAACTCCATTTTTAATGACAATATGAGAAAAAAATTTTTCTACTGCAATCAATCATAGATGGACTTGTTGCCATGGTAACCCAGAGGAGAACCTTCAAACATCTAATGAAAGGATCTTATTTTAACCCACAGTGTGACATTTTTCCAACTCCTAACCTGATAACGTTGGCGTCTGGACTCAACCGAGCTTCTAACATGTAAAAAATGTCTGAAGAACCATTGAAGTTTAACCAAAACATGTCATTTTTGGTACCGAAACCAAACCAGGAAGCAAATTATAACTGAAACTAAACAACAAGTCTTTTCTGGGTTTATGAAAACATCCTATTTCAACCCAAAATGTGACATTTTTCCAACTCCTAACCAACTAGTGTTGGTGTCTGAACTCAACCGAGCATCTAACATGTAAAAAATGTCTAAAAAAACGTGAAATTTTAACCAAATCACATCATTTCTGTTGCCAAAACCAAACCAGGAAGCAAATTAAAACTGAAACTAAACAATGAGAGTCTTCTGGGTTTCTGAAAACATCCATTTCTTCTGCTGTTTAACTAATCTTTTGGTGAAATGAGCATTTAAAGATCGGCGGAGCTTTGGGACTTCCCAGAATAAGAGATTTTCAGAAGCAGCGTCCTCATTACTGAAACGTTAAATATGGAAATCCAACATTCGTGCATCTCGTCTGTCAGAGTTTCTGTATTTCCAGCTCTGCGACGGCGGCGGCGGATTCTCCTCCTGCTTCATTCCTGATGCAAAGACGTCCAGGAGACTCTGCAGGTCAATCGTCTGCAGGTCGACTCTGAAAGCCGGCGTTTCTACATGAACCTGAACGCAACACGTTCTGCAGAGGACTCGTCTGGTTTTCTCTCCTCCAGGTTCCTGCTCGTGACCTGGAAATCAATCTGAGCTACAGTCGAAGGACGTCTCGGTTCCTAAAGTGCATCTGGAGGAGGAGGCTGCTCAGGTGAATCCTTTAACCGAGTGTCTGCAGCTTCCACGACGTAGAGAAGAGCAGCGACTGACAGAAGAGCATCTAGAATACTTATATGACACTATTTATTTGTATTTGATGCTAAGTGGCACCTTAGAACAAAACAGGGAGTTTAAAAGGCCTGTTATCTTCTAAAAATCCCAAAATTACACCATTTATCATCCAGAAACTGTAAAAACTGAAAGAATTGTTGGATTTTTTTAGTTATACGACGACTAATCATGTCTCAAACGCGGCTACACTGAAAGAATTGACAACATATACGCTTAAAATGTGATATTTTAGCAAAAATTCTTTTAAAAATCGCCAAAAATAAAGCTTTTATGCCAACTAGATTCTGCAAAAAAATAAAAATTCTGCACTTTTTGGGTCAAACAAAGAGTCTCAACTGTGACCAACACTCATGTGAGTTGTTGGAGATACATCCATCTGATGGTGGAACATCTTTCTACAGCTGATGAGCAGAGCAAACTGAAAAAAAAAGTGGTTCGTAGAGGTTGTAGAAATTGAAAAACTTAGATATCTGCCACTAGTTTTTAGCCACTATTTATTTTTCCAGTGTTGGTTTCACTACTTGGAAAAATGTTGGACAAATAAATAATCAAAGAAATTCGTCTCTTGTTTTGTCTTTTCTTTTGGTTTCTGACTTCTCTCTCCTCCTTCGTGGTGTTTCCACCGAGCTGCAGGACTTTAGATTGTAAAAAAAATACATAAAAACATGACGAGAGCAAATAAAACGCCCAGAAGCTGCTCAGAGGTCAGAGGTTCGGAGCTGAAAACACATTAGACGAGCCGGTGAGCGTTTAGCGGCTAAAGATCACTTCTCTGGGAGACGGCGGCGCCCGAACCGGAGCGAGGAACCGGTTTATAACGAATTACAGCAGGAACGGGTCTTTATTCAGAACAAAAGGTTGAGATTTAAAGTGAAGAAAAGGAGGGACAGGAAATAATGTTCCTCTCACCGACGGAACCTGATTAAAGAGTGGCGGCGGATGAAAGAGTCGAGGTGAGGAGGTGAAGACGAGCTCCTCCGACGGCAGCAGAAAGCCGCCGCTGCTGCTGCGTTCAGGCGTTCATTTACATCGAAAATCAGAAACTCTGAGCGATTCGGCTGCAGCGACCTTCATCACACGGAGACGATAATAGAAGCACCTTCTTCTTTCTTTGACTAGAAAGAAAATGTAAAAAAGCTAATAAAGAGAAAAAACTCCTTTAAAGAGGAGAAGAAATATGAAGTGACTGACGGTTTATTATCAACGATCTCAATAACTGAATGCTGTTACTTTTTTTTTTTTAATTCTACCCTCTGAACCACCCAAAAAACAGCACTTTTAAAAAAAAAACTTGCAGAAATTACACCATTTACCTGAAGAACAAACTGTGAGAGTCGAGCAAACTGATGGAGCTTCGAGTGATTTTTTTTCTTTTAAGGGATAAAAACATCCATATCTCAGCTAGAACTCATGATATTTATTCAAAATCTGTTTATTCTGCATGTTTCATTTGGAAATTAGTCAAAAATACATCGTTGGCACCTTCAAAAACTTTAAATCTACAACAATAAAAACACTTGTGGCCACAAATAACTCAGCAGCAACCAACAGTCCTGGCAAAAAACTAGATTTNTTTTCCTCGACTGAACTGCAGGAAGTGTTTCCACAGAGCAGCGATCGAAATTACTTTCTTTCACTTGTTTAAAAAAATGCCAAAAATTAAACTTTTAAAATAAGAAGATTCTGTAAAAAACGAAAAATTTTGAGCTCTTTGGTGCAACCGTGAAGCCATGAATGACTCGGCTGTGACCAACAGTCACGTGAATAAAATTCAGAGAGTTTTCAGGTTGAACTGCAGGAAGTGTTTCCACAGAAAACCAACTGGGTGTAGAGGCTGGAAACATAGAAAGAGTTAAATATCCTCAACATCTGGTGGAACCTTTTTTTTATTTATCTTGAGTCATTTTGGACCAATTTCGACTAATTTTGGACAATTTTCAAGACATTTCAGGCATTTTTTTGGTCATGTTGAGAAAGTTTCAAGTCAATTTTGGCCTTTGTTGTGTTTTTTTGGATAAATTACAAGACCTTGTCAACAAATCACTCCTTATTCTGATAAATCTTGAGTAATATTGAACATGTTTTAAGTCGCTTCGGACAAGAGCTGAGGAAAATCCAACCTCCTGGATCAATGAATAAATGCAGCACGGATCAGAACCAGAGAACAGAGGAGCACGTTGTTGGAGATACATCCAGCTGATGGTGGAACATCTTTCTACATCTGATGGTGGAACATCGTTCTACATCTGATGGTGGAACATCTTTCTACATGATGGTGGAACATCTTTGTAGAGTTTTCGTTTGGCAGAGCAGCGAGGAGACAAACAAATTAAAAAAGTACATTTTCTTTCATTTAGCTTCTTTAAAACTAAAGAGAATATACGAGTGTTCAAGTCGTACTTTTCAAAGAAACTCTCGCTCAGTTTGACCTCAAAGTTTAGCGAAACAAAAACATGCAGGTTGAACCATGAAAAGCTGTCGATGCTGCTGCAGAATCATCGGTTCATCTTGTCAAACACTCAACGTCTGAACACAAAGACGGTAAATCGGGAATCCAGAGAGTTCAGAAGGTTAATGAGCGCCTTCAGAAAGAGAACAAAATGAACACTTTCAGCTGCTTGCTTGTGTGTTCAGAGCCAGAACAGGAACGTTTCTGATGGGTTCGTGTTGGAGAAGTTGAAAACACCAGAAGCTTCCTAATCAAACTGATTGCGCCGCCCTGTGTTGTCT